AAAATGCGGACACGTGATAATCAAGACTACGCGGATGATCCTAAAATTCAATGGAAGCCAGAAGAAGAGCCAATAATTAAGATGAATACAACCAGTACAGCGGAAATTGCATTAGAATTTTTTTTTTCATTCTAGAGAGCAGAAGAGAGAAAATTAATTATTCAATGTCGTCACTATTGGTACCATTATAAGCACATTTGCTCTAAGGGATGTGCGGCGTAACATAGATATATTTATTAGAGCGGAAACCATTTTCTACCTTCTCCCTTGTAATTCTTGTCAGTCTCTTTTTATTCACTGGGCTCGGTCGGAGTACAGCTCGTAAGATCAATTAATTGCTAATTGATCGGCCGCTCGATAGCTCTTACGTCTGACGATACTTGCGACTTGTATCCCTATCGGTATGTAGTACGTATTTGTAAAATATATAAACAACTTACTTTTTATCGGTGAAACTTAAGATCTGAGCAAGTGATTGGATAGAATTGTTGTAGAATGGGCATTTAAAAGTTAATAAATGTTCGACTTAATTGGGATATAAATATTGGCGGTAGAAGAGAACGAACGTATCGGTTTTTAAAACAAATTTACTTATAAATTCAGTTAACTAGGTATAATTGCCACGCATGGCGCCCGTTAACAAATGCCTATTAATAAATTTATAGATAGCTCATCGAGCTTTGTCGATAATATTAATAAATTGTAATATTATGTTTGGGACATTTTCTATGTAGCGGTATGTTATTTAAAGTTACAATTCAAGGTATGAGAGAAAATAATATAAGGAGAAATAACACCCGTCTTCGATTTTTGAACGCACAATCGTCGCCGAGCTACTTTCAGTAGCCGATTCCCACCACGAATATTTTCGTAAGCGATAAATCACTGGAGGAGAGGTTAAGCGCATATTGTGGGGGAGCAATTTTGTATGTGAGCTTATGCGTTACGAATTGAGTAACCTTCAATAGCTCGAGTCCGCGAGTAAAAAGTATAGTACTCATTATTTTCCGATGCAAATACTCAGAAATGGCATTGAGTGTTGCGTGTAAACGCATATTATTATTAACATTTTAACTAGAGAGAAAATAAGGTATGTATTATTTATAAAAAAATTTATTAAAATTAAAATTAAAATTAAAATTATTTAAATAAATGGAAGTATTTAATTCGAAATTAATGTATCGCTTCATTATTTATTGTATTTTCGGCGTTTTTTATACGCGATATTGATTAAACGTAATTTATTCCTATCTTATAAATTGACGTAAAATTTTGTTGATAACCTTCAAATCTTAAATTAATGAATTTTATAATACAATATAATATAATATAATAAAATACAATATAAAATAATATAATACAAAATACAGTTATAATGATTAGTATTATTCTAAATTTCCTTGTGTCAAATATTGGTAAAATTTAAAAAAATACAAGTAAAGATCCATCCATTTTAAATTTTAAATAATTTTCACAGAACATTCATATATTTTAGAGCTAAAATAAAAATAATCTATTCAGCCTCAAACTACAATTATATAATTATTATTATTGAATATTAAAGGTTGAAGGGGTTCAATGATATTACTTTTTATATAATTTTTTTTTTATTTTGTATTCCTTGAATGCTAACTTAATCGTTTCCATCATTGTTCAGGTATAATAATTATGCTCAAAATTCACAGTCGCAATTGAAAAAACTATAATTGAACATAATATTCAATTACATTTACACAAAGACACAACGTCAATTTATAACTTGTAATGAATAATTGTATAACAAATTTGTAAAATTCGTAGCCTTTTTAAAATAGCGCTTTGGAGAACTTAGCGACTATATCAAAAAGTCAAAATTTCTTGCACATCCGAACGAAAATGTTCTTTGATAAATTTATTTATAAAAAAAGTTTCTTTTACAAAGGCCACAGTAGTAGCCTTTCATAATAGAAGAAGAAAAAAAAGCAAAATTTAAGGTGCAAGACATCTTTCAAAGGTTATATCGTGCCAATTTCCCATAAATTCGCCGACATAACACAATCGATATCAGAATAATCAGAACAAATCATTTTATGAGTACCTGATGAGGCTCACCAGTCGATTTTATTTGACATTCCAAACCTTCTAAAAACCATTCGCCGCGTCATCCTACTCCTTCGCTAATCGATTTTTCCGTACTTCAAATGATCGGAAGCCCCGGAATGAGTAATCGAAAGTGGCTCTCTTTACATCCCCCTTTAATGTCATAACGAGAGCTTTCGCTCATCCTCCGACTGCACCAGCTAATTAAAGCCGATCGTCAACGCATGCAGCTATCGTGACGGCATCGTGACGTCAACACCAGGCCTTTCTCCGCGACTCCCGTTGTGGTCGCACAATTGCGCCGAAGCAAAATGGCACGGACTTTCTTTCTTCGATAGTTGAAATAGTCATCATTTATTATTATTCAGTCTGGCTGCTCCACAGCCGCGCTACGAGCTCGTGCGGGATTAACGTTTTATCGATTAGCAGTTGGTAAACTCGATCGTATTTGTAAGCTGCCGATAAGTATCTTTCATTAAGCTGATCGGCAGTCGTTTAATTTGGTCTTTTGAAAAATTAAATTCATTCTCGCTAATGTCTAAACGGATACCTAAAGCATTATTGTATACGAGCTTGGCGTTATTTATGACGATATTTGGTAAACGCAACTTATTGTTAATTGCGTAAGTGTCCGAGTTGAAACTGTTCATAATGCTACGGCACTCGATTGCTTAAAACAATTATTTTTTTAATTATTTCTATAATTCTATGTATCAATATAATTGGTGCGACCTTGGCAAGAGGAAAATTATTATTCTTGAATATGTCGAGCTATGCTATGCTTTTGCAATTTTTAAACATACGCGATGAATTAGCTCTGATTCTATGTTGAAAGTGACAAACAAAAGGCTGATTTTCCACTTTCACTAAGATAATAATGGCGTTTCTGAACTAATTATTCAAGCGTATCCATAATTAAAGTGTTTTTTTTTTAGTTTTCACTTTCATTAGGAATCCATTGAAATTAAAGAGAGAATCATTATTCATTGTTAAATTAATGCTATTATTATTATTACAAAATAAAATCAATACATTTGCAAGTATTATATAATGCATAAAATTAAATTAATAAGGGTAATTTCTTTTACATAGATTCGACATTTCATCTTAAAATTTCAACAAATATAAATGCAACGAACTATCGATTAAAATATCGTCGAATGTCTAAGCAAAAATTGAAAAATTATACGAATTTCACGAGTACAAAGCATCAATTTCTCACTGCAATTTTTGCAAAAAGCTAATAGTTCTCAACTGTCTAGACATCTATCTCCTATTCATAACGATTTGATGCTTAACTATTTATTTTTTATTTACTTACACTCGATTGAATACTATTATAATCGAACTTATAATTTATCTGTGAAAGTAAATTTCACTCATGTTTACTTTAAATCCTGTACTCACAATCTGACAGCTTAAAAATTTGACTGTCATTCTATCAATTGATCATCGATAATTAATAAATACCATTAAATAATCATCATTTATATATATATATATATATATATATATATATATTTATAAGGTGTCATGTATATCTAAATGGTATTACCATATAGTGTACAAAGATAAATGAGACAGAGATTAATTATTTGTCTCAAATTGCATAAAAATTAATAAAGTCATAGCTACTCGTCGTCAATTAAGGTTACTTATTACTTTTTATATGTATTGCATAATATTGTCTAAGGAATATTTTTTTAACATATATTTTTTCTTTTAAAATTCACGTACCGTTATTATCAACATAACTAGTGAAAAAAGGGATAATAATATTATTTCGTAAGATCCCGATATTATACAATAAGTATGCGTTTGAAAGGACGAGTTTCCTCGAATGCGAATGTACACATCTGCAAGCTATAATATAATTACGTATTCAAGGTCGACAATTCTAAATAAAAACTAACATACAATTTCTATGGCATAATGCACTTCCGATTTTCGAACAACAATTAAATAATTTCAATAGTAATAGAATTGTGCTTAACGCATAAAAAGTGCATTAGTGTTAGACGTATTTATAATTATTATTTAAAATCTGTGAAATTATATAAACAATATAAATATGAATAACTTTGTAATATTACAAATTAATATAATAATAGATATGATAGAATAAATTTAATTTCAGTTAGATATTCTGACAGCATGATCATATTTAAAGTAATAAAATATATATTAAATGTTAATAAAATAATTAATAAGATTTTTAAATATAATACTAAAAATGTTATAGGCTAATTAATTATCCGAAAAATTATAATGAGCGTTAATATAATACGCCCAAGTTTCTATAGATGTACAGAGTTTTGATGAACAATTATACTTGTGACTGAAGCAATTAAAGTATTTGTAAAGATTCGAAGTATCCAGCTTAAGAAAAACTTTACATTAAAACGTAACTTAATATACCTGAAATATTCTACTTATTTCATACGCACTTTACGCAGTATCTATTAATAAATTAACAATAAATTAAAAAAATAATCGTAGTATAAATGCAAATCAATATTTACCATCTCATTTTAAATATTACTTTTATTATTGCTCGATTCCAAAATTAAAAAGGAAATGTAAAATAAGTGCGAACACTTCTTTTTGCCCCTTATGAATATCTTGAAATTTCAGCAAAGTACTAGAAACAATAGGTAATTCCTCTCTTTATCTTCAAATATAATATCTCGAGTTCTATATAACATTGCCCATAACCTCTCGCTTATTCCACTGTATTTATTAGAAAAGCAACGCGCAACATATCTCGCTGTTTTTTATTTACCCGCAACGGAGCGAGCAAACGAAAAGATGCTTTTGATACTACGTACAAACGGTGGGAGAAGCACTCAAATTCATAATGCTGCTATATGTATAAACATACGGTATGAATTGTATATAAAGGAAAAATCGGGAAAACTCACCTGATAGTTGTCGCTCGGACTGCGAACGAGGCTGTTGTCGGCTCTGAAACAGAATTAGCGTGAGCTGATTAAAAGCTACAAATGTAACTAATAACTTAAGATGATAAAGTAGCATGGAATGTTACTATTATTATGGCTGATATATAAATCCTCGGGCGTGCTAACGACACGGAAACAAATGACGTAAATTATGTGTTAATGCGAAGGAATAAATTGGAAGCATCGTAGTAAAATTTTAATTAGTACCATAAAAAATATTTTGTTTTCTACATTTATTATTAAATTATCTGGAGATAATGAAACATTTTCGTAATAATTTTTATATTAGTAATGTGAAATAAATGTGAAATTCGAGTTATTGTAGCAAATGTACTGTGTATTTGGAGAAACAAATATGAAATAAATGTTATTTACTTTATTAACAATCATATATTCGAAACATATATAACATATGGCAAATAAATGCAATATTTTATGAATTAATTATCTATTGTTTCACTTGATGTTAGTATGACGAACTTTGTATTAGACTTAATTTTCATTGATTTAAAATAAAATAAATTTACTTAAATTTGTTTTTAACGAAAAATCTTAAAGTAATTTTAATTTAGTTTACTTAGATACGCCGATAAAACTTTTAATGTATATTTCCATCATATTTAAAGAAGTAAATATATTCGAAATTGTCAAAACTACAAAAGTTAATTATTATATTCAATGAGCATTCGAAAATGATTTCTTACTATTTCTTTTTTTTTTACTTTTATTATTAAAAAAAGTAGATTTTCAAAAAAACCTGGACAGTAACATTTTACATAAAAATTAACATAGTGTATATATGTTGGCCTACAAATATGTTCAAATACATTCTAAATGCTTATCCGAGTATTCCTTTGCATTAAAAATATATTTTTAATTTTTTTATTTTATTTATTTATATAAAAATGTAATATATATATATATATATATATATATATATTTGGTATTTACAAATTCAGCAATACTTTCAGATATTCATAATAATAGTTTTAGTTCCAAATTTATTTATTTCTTCGAATAAAATTATATTTTGGACATTTCTATGATGTGTAATATTTTTGAGAAACTTGCTTATTCATATCATACGATAACATTGTTTTCTAAAAATAGATATGGTTACATATAAATATATAGTAATATGAGTTATTTGATGAGAAATCCTGACAAACATGTTGAATCAATACTGTTAGCCACAACACTCTTTACTCTCTGGATTTTCCTAAATTTCCCTTTACACCAAATTGTGCTTACCATTTACCTACTAAACCAGCATAAACATATTCGATTTATAAATATAACTTAAGCGATTGAAAGAAAAAAATATTTACAATGCCAAAGCATATTTCTTTAATTTCCGACACTCGGATTCCCATACACTTTTGTGTATGGGACTTCGTCTCGATTGAACACTAAATTCGATTACTCGATCGATATTGACCGAAAACTCTGGCCCACCAGTACATACGTATTTATTGGCAGGAGGATATTAATGGAAAGAGGCCCGTTACACACATGAAATATCGGTCGTTGCTATCTTTCCGATGCGAAGACGACGAACGTATTAGTCAGAGTAGCGCCTCGTCGATCGTCGAATAAAGACTGAGAAGAAGCCCGCAGATATACGCTTGGGAGATATTATTTTAAAGTACTTATCTAAATAGACGGTCAACGACTGATTTATGACACGCGCGAGCTCCTCCGAAAATATTCCAGGAGTGTATAAGCCATACATCCCTCGTTCCCATTCATTTAGATTGAAAGTAACGATTCCAGGCTTGATTGTTCGTCGTGGCCTATAAAGGACGGAGAGACTTGGACGATAAATTGGAGCGCAGCTCGTGAACGTGCAATAGAAGAATAATGGATGTGACGATTACATCATTCATTGTTGCGTTATTCGTACGTCTCGTTCCTTACGTGTGTATTTTAAAGAATTTTGTATATTTGTAGATTTTAGAACATCGGTGTCTCCATACGCGTCGACGCAAAAATAAATTATTTTAGCTGTATGAGGTCGTATTTTGATAGAATTCGAATATATTTGGCTCGGCATTAAAGTTATTCTTTAAAATTCTTCTACTTCGATATTATGTATTGTAATTACAAGCCATAGATAAGAAATGCATTTATATTGACTAATAAGAGGAATATTACACTTGTAAGCATATATATTTTGATAAGGGACTGCTAGATAAATAAGGATAATGGGCTGTAACTCATTGTAATAGGTATCCATTTTTCAAGAAATTGCTATTTAAATAAAATATGTAGAATAATTTTTTTTTTTTCAAAATATATTTTAAATTGTAATGTGAAGGGAAGAAAATATACAAATAAACGTTTTTAATAGCACGTTCACTAAAACTTATTAAAGAACGTAATATTCAATTTTGAAAATTCTTCTATGTCAAAGTTATTATTTGTATTTGTACTAATAATTATTCAAGCAAAATAATTCAACATTCTAAGCGATATATAAATAGAGTGCGCGAATGTAAATTTTAATTAAATAATTCATATTCAGTCCAATGTATTACAATCGTCAAACTTAATTTTTCTTAATAATAGAAATAATTAGCCGCCTACAAAGTTATATCTTTTGTTTTCAATATCTTAGTAAATGGATAATATGTATCATTTATTTATCGAATAAATTATAAAATTTATAAAAATTATTTTTTATATAATTTAAAAGCATTTTTATTTATAACGAATACGAAAATCATTTAATTAATGTTAATTTATTTTAATAATTATACTAATAGTATAAATTAAAAAGTTTTCATGAAAAGTAAGATAAACGTGTCACGTTACCAAAATTTGTTGCAAAAAATTTTTATAATAACGATTAATTTGATCAATTTCATCCAATCAAATTCATCCAATTTTTGTATAAAGGCCGAGAGATTAACATAACATAACATAAATAACATAACAAAGATTAACCAAGGCTTCAATTTAAACAAAATCTTCATCAGCTGTTTATTAACGTATGTTAATAACGTACCAGAGTAAAATTCGATTCTCTCAACATATATTAATTAATAGCCTTGACCTTCTCGACTTTATTGCAGTGTTCCAATAAAAGAATTATCAGATCAGTTAATCTTCTATCGAACAATTCTCTTGTTTATTAGCACGTATACTTTGCATACTACTAACTTTCTACTTTATTTCGTTGACTTTCTGCAGCTTTTCATCCACTTTTATTTTTATTTTGCCATTATTTTCTTTCTTTATTTTATGATGTTATATTGCTTAATGACAAATATAAGCATTATTAGTTACATGTAGCGCTGAAACACAAATTTTTACATACGCCTTAATACACTTTATGCAAGAAATTTTGGAACTGATATTTTTCAAATATAGCGATTTATTTCAACATTACAAATTGTCTTTGAATTGAAACTAATTCCAATGTAAAGAGAAAATTACTAAATGCCAATATGACTATCATTACTATATTATAATTTTCTTACAGATCTTGGTGATAAATTTAATAACATCTAGACAATAATGTCGCTACATCGTACAAATAAATATGAGCATTAGTTGCACACTAGTAAAGTTAATTTCACAATTATTAATTCAGCTTGGTTCTGATATTTTTATCAATCTATCTATTTAGTTGTTTATTTATTCATGAACGATAATGACTTGTATTATCGTTGTTGCTGATATAATATTGCATACATACGTATATCCTATAATTAATTAGTATTAAATTCAATAAATGTCAGTTAAGTTTTAAAAGAAATTTGAATAATTTTTTGATATTTTTTAGACGATTTGTTCAAATAGTAATCTAACTTGGATTCTAACTAACTTTTAAATTTAATTCATTTGTATATTATTACGTAAATTTACATATACACAGTTTTCATAGTACTCGAATATGTGTATTATTATTTAAAATCGATGTCAAGTTATAAGTCATGAATTAAAAATTTTTTATGCCAATGTGTATATAAATTGTATTGTACTTTTCAATTACAATACACTAAATCATTTTCTTGTATTTGAACTTCATTTCTGTAAATATACCTATCCATATTTTATTTGAATAATTGGAGACCATTGACATAACATTTTATCGTATTTTTCATAGTTAAAATAACGAAAATGATGGTGTTTACGAATATCTGCCATTCTATTAGTTATTTCCTTAAAAAAAATCTTTCAAATGTATCTGACCTTCAAACACATACTTTTTAGCAAATAAGTATTTATTAATAATAATAGTAAGGGTGTTTTATTAGTAGTATTAATTATTAATAGAATTCTTCTTACAGATAAATTAGATTTCGATTTCAATTTATATATTTATATACTTCCTTCTACTGAATTAAAAAAAAAAAAAAAAAAAAAAAAAAAAAAAAAAAAATAATAATAATAATAATAATAATAAATCGTAAGATTCTTCAGATAAATATCAGATAGTGGTAAATATCAACATTATTAGCCTTATTTTCTGATTTTTGTTCAATCTATATGTCAATAAATTGTAGCATTTTATGTACAACGTAGGCCGTTAATTAGATTATATACTTTTTCACTATCGATTTTACTAATAAATGGCTCCATTTTCTTTATTCAACCTTTCACATTTTTCAAATTCCTATTTAACGGCTCTTAAGATAACGTGAGCTTTATTACTGTATCTTTATGTAGACTGAGAAAATTTAATTTATTGTATTTAGAATAGGGAATTAAGAGTCTTGTTATAAACAAATTTTAAAATCATATATCAACTCCTGTCCGTATTATGCTTGAGCATGTGTTTTTCTTCGTAATTTATTTGTTTTATAGAATTCAAGACAATGTACTTTAGTTATACAAAGTACTTTAAGAGACAACTTACGTACTTTAAAAGACAAACGCTGAGCAATTTTGTAGAAAGTGTCCTTCGTTTTTTTTTCTTTCTAAGAGAACGTGAGATATGGTTAATCCATAACAATAATTCTTGTGATAACTTACCGAATGATATTATTATAAATTCTG